GGTTTGTATCATGATGATGTTCTTCAAACATTCCTTAAGTGATCTTTTCCAAGACGGTAAGCTCATCCTCCAACCTTTAGGATCTGCCTCGTGGCCTTCTGGTGGATCGAACTCTTGGAAGACATCATCGTCTTGGTCCAACTCAGTAAAGTCTTGTAGTAAGCTTAAATCTTGTTGTTGTTCGATCAAAGGTTCTTCTTGCTGAGAATGAGCTCGTTCTCCGTTGTTTGCACCACACGCTCTGACAAGAAATACTCCAGTGCAGTTTTCCACCAGGAAAGCAAGAAAAACAACGACTTCAGCGAGCATTTTTCCAACTWTTCGACTTGGCTGTTTTCCTCGAAATGTTATACAATCTGGTTTCGATACGACGCAGGGATCCCAGTTACGACGCAGGGATCCCAGTGGATGGAATTGCGTGATGTGGCGTTATAAATTCAATGCCAATCGTCAACTTTTAACGACATGATAGACCTTTTTAGCGAAATACCGGAGACGTTTTKTGAATGCTGAGTATTCTCCACAAATGATTGACATACACTATTAATACTGTTCTGTTTGAATATGATTGGATCAACTATTGTGATCCTTTTTTCCTTTCGTTTTCCATTTGTAGGCGTAGTGCCTAATAGATAATGAATGAGGGATTTGATATCAAGTGTGGGTACTTTGTGTTGTGAATGGTACAGGAATTATAATAATAACATTTATTTCTCTCCTTTTAGTTAGTTATAGATGCATTTACTGTAAAATTGCATGCGGCTTGATGTTGTTAGAATACACATTTTTACAAGAACAATTCATTTGTGCACATCATACAACTTATTGATTTCGAACAACCATATATTATATATATATATCATAACTACCCAGACCAAGTAGATGGCCCTTATTGTATATACAATTAAAATCATTAATTAGTTTAATAAAATATTGGATACAAAGTCAACTCGGGATGAGGCTTACACCCGTACACTTCCCCCTGAATTCGCCAACTAAATACTTCGAAGAGCAGTGAACCTTCTACAAAATTATTAGTCGGAATTGTTTCTTGTCTACAGAAAATCTGGATACGAACAGTTCCGCTTTAGGTGTATGTCACKATACTTGTTATGGACAACATTAAACAAATACTCACTAAAATATAACACAGAAATCGATATWAGAAGAGTATTAACTACGATGTGGTACCKCCATTTTCTTTTCCACACCCGKCCCACGGCTATATTCATGACTCTAATTTGAATCAAAAGCGAAATTGTATTGAAAACTAAATCTATTAAAAGACCAACAACTACGCGCATGAAAAAGCCCATTATGACATCCTTATCGATGAAAGGTTTCTCTTGAGTATACAGGATTTGGTAAACAGTCATAAACCCTAACGAACAAACCAACCCAGTAGCTTCTTGTAGCATGATTTGAATCGTAAGGTCTGCAACAAACCGTCGACTTCGAAGACTGATGTATTTCGGTGTAGGGCGTCTCCGCCGTATCACCAAGCGATACAAGTAATCCCAGATCTGATCTCTCATTGTCACAGTTATCCGTTCAACGAGGTCTATAGCAGCGTGAGCGATCCCAAGTAGAACAAA